CATCAGATACATTTTTACCATCAACTGTCATAAATTTGGGTTGTGATTTATTCCCAGATTTTCCAGCAACGAATGACCAGAATGACTTAATATTGGTTTTAATGTTGTCTTCGGTATTAGACACATATCTTTTATAATCTTTTTTTATTGAGACTTTCACCTCTGACCGAAGTTGACAGAATAATTGATATGAGTTTTCGTCTCTGAAAATCTTCCACTTTCTATGAGCTTTATGCTTTCTTTTTAAAATATCAATTGTATGCTTGGAAAACCAGAGAGGATGCGAGTATTTAACTTGATTGCATTCGATATGGTTGGAGATAGCTGAATCTATAATATTATAAAAGAAAATTACTGAGTCATCTACTGATAAGTTTTTGAGACAGTTCTGCCAATCCACGTTATTGATATAGTCATTTATTGCTGCATAGTCAGCTGTCATGAATTTCAGTTTTTTAAAATCATTCTTTTTTTTACAGTTAATAGCATCCGTAAAATCAATATCAATAATCAGGGATCTATGATGTGGATCTTCGCTTACAAATGAATTTTCACATGGCATCACATTGATACTAGAGTTCATGGATGAAAAAATCAGGTCTAGTAACTTACCGTTCGTGTTGATCACATGATTGAATTGTTTCAATCCTAGAAAGCTGACAGTATCGATGAGAGTTTCGCTATAATCGTTGACAACGTTGTAGGCCAAGAAAAAATCTTCTCCTTCCTCACGTTCCCATGTCAGACTTGGTATGTTGTAATCACCAATAACAAGGAATATATCATTTGAATGACTTGCTACAACATCACTAACACTATTCAGATGCGCCCTGAGATTTTCAACAGAGGCATGTGGGGGCACGTAAACACAGCACACGTGAAGCACTTTGGAGTTGCTCATGAACACCGACACCCATATATCCTCGCAGACTCCTTCACATGACCAATCATCTCTTACTGTGGAGTTCAAATGATTTTTCACCGCTATGAATACTCCACCTCCGTCTTTTTTACCAGTTGTCAGAACATTACGATCTCTCCTATATAAATTAAATAAAGAGTTATCCACCACCTCCCCAGTTCTTACTCCGTCATTGAGCCAGGATTCGGTGACGCAAAGTATGTCCGCAAGATGTATGTCCTGCAAGATGTGTTGTTCGGTGCGTTAGTGTAATCAATATATAAAAGTACGAATTTATCAATACACAGCTTCTCCCCAGTTTCATAATTATGCATTGTGGAGAACATTTCAAAGATTGGGAAACCTATTTCCAATTATATGTCTGTGTGTAGTAAGCACTACTCAGAAACCGATTAAAAAGGTAATTTCATATCAAGAAAATATTTTTAAGTTCAATCTCTGTTTAAAGCATTTTTTCATTCAAGGGAAATGGAATCATAATGCAAAAGTTCATTTTGACAGAAGGCTTCAGAAAAGTACCTCGAAAATGTTTTTTTTACAGCGATTTAATGTGCGCAAGACGCGTTGAAAATGTTTTGTTGTGTCCATGAAAAGGCTTTAAAAAGAACTAGGGAGAAGGTAGTTTTGTGACATATCAAGGACATCTCGATAATTGCCGCCTGCGGCGGACATTGGCTGTTCAATAATAGTTCTATTCATGTATGAAAAGAACATCGCAGTGGAGGTTCAATGTCTCGAAATCTCGTACTTTTAACATCTCTGAGATGATTTTGTGCTCGCTGGGTCCCGGACTAGGCCGGGAAGTACCACATCGTTGTTTTCATTGTAACTATGAAAATCTTGGTAGAGAAGGTTTTGATAAATGCAGATGATCATTACCATAGCAGCAAAATAACTGCTGACAGCTATTTCATACGAAATTAGTTGACATTTTGATTTTTGAAAGTTTGGTCGCAATTATCGCAATAAACTAGAAAGAAGAAGCGATAGGATAGTGAGTTTGTGAATGTGATTTACGAAATTTCCAATGCAGCTGTTACAAACCTATAATAGGTATTCTGTTCGAACTTCAGTATTTGATACAAACAGAAATTAAAATATTTGAAATTTTATTCTACAAAGAAATAAGTGTCTCATTGATTTGTTATTCTGAATGGTTGCCCAAAAAATGGTAAACGAAACACGTCTGAAAACAGTTTTTAGGAATCGCACAATTCCAGGACTCGCCTACGGCTCGAAATAGAATGTTGTCTACTCGTCCAAAGAAACAGCATTTTCCGGACTTGTTACGTAAATTACTATAGGTATGTCTCCAAGCGGCAGAGAAAGTAGCTTTTCTATGACACTTAACAGGCAGGAAAGGTGTACTTTCTCTGCCTACGCAGGGAAAAGATTGTTGCTATGCAACGTTTCAAGTAATTTGAATGAAATCGGTGATCAAAATTGACACTGACATTGGGTGAACACTAAATGATGGAGTTTTCAATAAAAAAATTACACAAAATTGGTTTTATAACAATTGGAGAAAACATTATGTTTCACACGGCAGCAAATGCGTAGATTGACTGCCTGAACTATCAGCCGTCGCATGGCAGTCAATCTACTTCTTTGCTGCCTTGTAAAACGAATAACTATGCGCATTTTTCCAATGATTCGTGTTCCTGAGATTACTTTAAACATACCTGTACAGATTTCCATCATTCCTAAATTTAGAGTGTTCAAGTAAAGTGGGCAAAAGTTTTCGTATTATGTCAATAATGGCGGATTTGCATAGTCCTAGTCTTAGTTCTAAGCATAGTCCTAGTATCAATTTTTGTCTCAAAGATTTGATCCAGAAACATTAAACCTTGATTTAAGCATAAGAGTATTGTGAGAATTTGTGTTTTTTTTTGTATCAGAGATGAGGAAAATTATCTATCAAACTCATCAACATCTGAGCTTTCTCGTAATATCATTTTCGGAACATGTAAACAACAAATCATCAAAAATTCTATCAAAGGAGCATGCGCCGAATCCACATAACATAAGCATAAGCATAAAAGTTCAAATTAATCAACTTTTGAGGTCGTTTCTCAGGCTTGTGCTTATGCTTGAGACTAAAATTGGTGTGTAAACGGCCTCATGCAAATACCTTGTTTCAACTTCTAGTTATGCTTAAAATTATGACTAGGACTATGATTAGGACTATGCAAATGTTGCATGAATCCACCATAAGTATACCTTGTGTTCATCAAGTGAATAATAATGAATGACGTGTTGTGATCACTGGGTTCGAATTGTCTTTCACACATCTCACAACGTCACACCATTGTAAAAAGTCAACAATATTGTGTACACAAAACAGAGAACACAACTTCAGAAAATAGGAAAAATCCTCGGAAAAATCCTTCAAAACGGAACGTAAACAATACAAAATATTTATCGCTGTTGACTGTAAAGTACTAAGAAGCGGTGTTGCAACATTGGCCAAGCATTATTGACTATATTATTATTGACTACTATATTGACCAAACTGACTGAAGCATCCGGCAAGATGACCAGAATATTTATGAATCACTATGAATTGATTCTTCAGAATTGGTATTATATCTAATCCGACTAACAAATAAATGTGTTGAAACTAATATTATGGTTGTTTTGCGAATTCATATTAGCAACAGAATATTTGTTATGTTGTCCTCCTAGGGGGTTTGTTGTTCGGAAATCAATACGTTCCTTTCCCTATGATGGACGGAAAAAAAGGAATTGTTGAATCAAGCATAATTTAATTGAATGGAGCGAATAAAAGTGTCATATATGCACGACAAAATATAATCTTGGAATGAGTAAATCTATATCTTGTTTCAGATCGAATTTGGAGTTTGAATCAAGTAAATATATAATAATAATAATGAAATATTTGTTTGATTCAATTTAATATTTGGTTAATTCAATGAAATATTTTGTTGATTCAAGAGAAACTATATATCCATTCGACAAAATTGTTTTGTTGCACCAAATTCAATATTCGGTAATTTTCTGAAATTTCATATCAATAGAATAAACAAAACTAGGAAACTAGTCTACTCCTCGCATAGATATTCAGTCTATACTTCTCTTTAGCTGATGGAGAACTATTTCGGATTGCTAATCATCTTAAGTTCGATTTATCCAGCTGATATTTCAAACACGAAGAATCAGGCTTCACGTATATATAATGAATTCGAGGCAGGCATGGACGAGGCGAAATGATCGCCATCTAGAGGCGAAAATTTAAGTTGATGTATAATGAACAAAATATTCCATTGATATTACATATTTCGTTGCTCTATTCAAGCAAATGATCCGTTCAAAACGAAATCATTGCTACATCGGAATAAGAAAACTTGGGTTTGTTGTTTCAAAGATATATTCTCATCAAAATGATCATTGTTTGATCAAATAAACGAAATGTTTATAGTTGAATCAACATCGACATTATTTTGGATCGACATAATTTGTTTTTGAGGAAACCATATATTTTGTTGATGGAATTGATAGTATACTGTTGATTCAATTAGACTGCATTCTCTATTTGAACAAGCTGCTTCCATGGAATAATCATGTATCTGGTTGATTCAACAAAAAATTGCTCAGTCCAACAAAAATAACTCAAGTATAAATAATTTGTTGATGCAACAAATCCTTTTCTTCCGTGTACAATAATTGCGTTCCCGTTCTACGCAGATTCTAGATTTGAGTATTTCATGTGATAAAAAATGTTGAATGATAAAAATAAATCTGCCATCATGGGCATACATGTTGGCACTAAGGGGGTTCCATAAAAATGCTTATAAATGAAACTATCAAATAATAATAGCTAAAATTGAATAACAATTGAAAAGGAGTTGATAAGTTACTCAATAGAATTGAATAAAATCATTACATGAAAATTATGAGGCTAATTCCTGAAGGGGGCCATCATAGGCACATTTACCATATACAAGTATTTCACATGAAGAAGCGAAACATGTCCTATTAAAAAATGTTGTTGAACTTTTATCGTTTGTGAAGTTTTCTACATTCACTTATAATATATTTCTGTGAATTATATACGAACCTATTTGGCACAGTGCGTAATCCTCTACTTCTGCAGAACACAATCAGGAGAAAAAAGTTAGCTGTAACTGCTATAACCGATGACGTCACGAGTCCAATCGTGATGAGCCAATGGTAGTTCGACTCCATTTATTTCCTGTAACAAGGAAAAGAAGGATAGTACGAAAGTGTATGAAGGGCACTGTTGTGTGTATTTTATTTTATTTCTTTATTCAGACTTTGAAGCCTGAATTCAGACTTTTTCCTTCGAATTCAGATTTTTTTAAAGCGGCTGAAGATCCAGAAAAATGTGACTCTGTGTCAGAAGTTACTGAATCCAGCACATCACTAAACTTATTAGGTTACTCTTAGTAATTTCAATGGTACTGTTTGTTTTTCCTGACCCATAACAGGTCTTATTTAGTCTGATGATGGCCTTTGTGCCGAAACCGGTCACTTTCTAATATAGTTTTTGATATGAAGTGTGGTCGAGGGACTTGGAGTTTTTATTTCATTTATGACTATGAATACCAGTCGAGCGAATCCGACTAGCTCAGTCAGCACATCCTTTCGTCAACCTCGAGGTATTCGAACAATAGTCTATCTATAGAAAGACAAAGCTTTGAATTGTTTTGTCAAAAGGAGTATTCCAAAAAACTTATAACTTTGAAAATTTATTTTATAGTACATTACATAACTAGTGTGGAAAGTCGCAAGTGGCATATTTCGCAATAGTGAAATGTAACGAGTACATGAAATCCACTTTCCAACGAGTTATATAAAACCATAAACATATGTTTTTCGGAACTATAGCACAACAGGAAGTTATCAACAGTGTATATATATGTGATATACATCCGGGAAAAAAGTACTAACTTTTTCCCGTGGGAAGAAAATAATTCATGAAAAATGACATTTCATAACCTGTCAACACATATGAAAATTTGAATTTTTTCCCGTCACAGAAAGAAATTAAATTTATTAGATATCTCGAAAACTAAGAATAATTATAATGAATTGAAAGTAAAAAAAAATTTTTAATAAAAAGCTTTTATTTAAACGCTCTAAAAAGAAGAACATAAAATTTTTCTTAATAATTTCAACTATCAAGTTATAATCTCATAATACACAATTTATATGGTCATAAAAGTTTGTCGCGCGATTCACTTGTGTGAATGAACTAGTACTTATTTAGTTATGTAAAATCTGCTGAGATAAAATTTTCAAAATTACAATTTAATTAAATATTGATCATCGCGACAAGCTTTTATGATATGAATTGTGTATAATGAGGTTATAAGATGATAGTTAAAATTATTGAGAACAATTTTATTTTCTGCTTTTTAGAGCGTTTAAACAAAAGCATTTTATTAAAAAGTTTTTTTTACTTTCAATTTATTTTTTAATTTTCAGTTATCGCTAGCTGGATTTTTCGATTTACTCTCAACAAGCCTTTTTATTTGATACCCATATTGTAGAAGTATATTAAAAATGGCTATTCCGCCATTTCAGATGGTCCGCCATATTGAATTTAGAATAACGTTACATTAATTTTCGAATTACTCTCAACGAGCCCTTTCATTTGATACCCATATTGTAGAAGTAGATTAAAAATGACCATTCCGCCATCTTTAATGGTCCGCCATATTCGATTTAGAATGACTTCACATCATTTTTCGAGTTACTCTCAACGAGCCTTTTCATTTGATACCCATATTGTAAAAGTATATAAAAAATAGCTATTCCGCCATCTTGTATAGTCCGCCATATTGGATTTAGAATAACGTGACACACCTTATAGTGCATTGTCATCCAAACTGAACGTGTATACAAAATTTCAGCTCAATCGGTTGAAGATTTCTACTTCAAAATTGAGTTCAAAGATTCCACCCGAACATACATACATATCCATACAAACATACAATGCAAGCTCCAATGCAAGTTAAATAAAAGTTTCCAATTAAGAGAGCAGCAGTTGGAAAAGTTATTGAAGTATTGAAATATTTTCAGTGGCGTGCTCCGAAAAAGTTGTAGCAATTTTCATCATAGAGAATGTGAAATATCTATCTCCCTGTATATTGATTAAATTTGTATGACATGGTTTTCATGCACATTTATGATAGTGAATTGCCTACGAATTTTAGAGCAGTCCTTTCAAGGGTTTTGAAATATTCAGGAAAATCGGTAAAAAAATTACTCTTCATCACCCTCTTTTTTCAATCAGTCTATTATGGTCTCTATAGTTTACCCTGTAGAATTTATGGTATTCGTTGTTCTGGGGACACCTTGTATATGTTTCATCGGTGATTTCGATTGTTATTATTTGTCACCATCACGTAAACTTTCATCAACCTGTTTTCTTATGGAACATTCGATTTGAAATGATATTCAATTCGATGATGCAATAATTGCTTTGTCTAATTTTGAACATGATTTGTTGAGTTTTCTTGGCAAATAGGTAATATTGTTCATTTCAAACTATTTTTGGTTCTAACTCACAAACGGTTATAACAATTCAATTATTTCAACATGGAAATATAGTAGATTTCTACTTCGTAATAAGTAATGTGACATCAGATGTTGTGAAAATATAGGCAGCGGCAGCACCAGATCAGAAAGGGGATTACAAATCCAACAATATTGAGTTTGATGATGGAGTTTTCTCAAACGTGAGATCAATTGCTGAAAGTGCATCCCAAAAACTTGGTTTTCTGTTTCGGGCCAGGGGCTATTTCACTTCCAGTCAGCTGCTTATGATCTTAAAGGCACAGATCCGACCTGTCCTGGAATACTGTTCCCATATTTGGAGTTCAGTTCCCAAACATACCCCGAAACTGTTGGATTCTGCCCAAAAAAAATTTGTATTACCGTTCTTCTCGAATGTCTCGAAAATTATTGATTGTATGATAAAACGACACATTCTAATAGTACTTTTGAGTGGTCTCTTAAATGCTTATGTCAGTATTGGATTGGATTTAGAATAACGTCACATTATTTTTCGAATTACTCTCAACGAGCCCTTTCATTTGATACCATATTGTAGAAGTAGATTAAAAATGACCATTCCGCCATCTTGGATAGTCCGCCATATTCGATTTAGAATGACGTCACATCATTTTTTCGAGTTACTCTCAACGAGCCTTTTCATTTGATTCCGCCATCTTGGATAGTCCGCCATATTGGATAGTCCGCCATATTGGATTTAGAATAAAGTGACACACCTTATCGTGCATTGTCATCCAAACTGAACGTGTATACCAAATTTCAGCTCAATCGGTTGAAGATTTATACTTCAAAATTGAGTTAAAGATTCCACCCGAACATACATACATTCATCCATACAAACATACAATGCAAGTTGAATAAAAGCTTTTAAAACTAAAAAAAAAGCTTGTACAGGTTATATGGTTACTAATTTAAACCTTCCATTTGAGGTCCCACAATAGCGGTGGCGCCAAAAAAGTATTTTTTCAACTTTTTATTTTCCAAGATTCGACGTTTTCAAATTGACACCCTATATATTATTTACCGGGGTGTTTGCGTATTCGCAATCACACAGTTACTTCATGAATTATTCACATATTTTCAAATTGAAATAGCAATATCCGTAGACACCAGATAACCAAACCACAAAAAAAGAATTGTAACGTTTTTTACATAAGGAAGGTATTTCCCCAGTGAATGAATATATTATAACACAAAATTGATAACCGTTCTCTATATATATTAAACTAATAGGAAGAAGCATATAGGTACTGTACACATATTACTTCTAGAAGGATCATTATCATAATTAATATTTATTATTCAAGTACCAATCGAGTTATCAATATAAACAAATTATGAATATGAGTATATTATCTAATTTAATATCGAAATATCGATCTACCAAGATATACGTCATTATGATAGTTTTAGGAAATCAGAGAGCGTCAATGAGAATTCAGAAAATTGTGACTTTAAAAATTCAGAAACAATTATCAAATAATTATCTATCAAACGAAAACAAAAATTAAATTTCTAATTAGCTCAGATAATGTCCATTTCTCGTGATTCATGATATTCAAGTTCGTAAGGCAATTATTTCTCCACTAACGAACGGCCGAGAATCACAACATTGTTTTACTAGGATTGAAAGTGGCTTTCCAAAATTTTCAAAACTACACAGAAAAAATTTTTTTTTGAAACTACAAAATTTTTGTAAATTCAACAAAATCTGAGTGTCATATATCCACGACAAAATATTTTGTCACCGCAACAAATATTTTTTGTCAGTTTTCAATTCAAAATTCATTTGATGTAACTCATTTATGATTCAAATTAACAGCAGGAATTGGTTGAATAAACAAAAAATATTTTGTTCCCATAATACAATATCTGCTCTTATGAACCATTCAGTTGATTGAAATGATTATATCATTTCATTCAAGTGACAAAATTTTCAGTTTTTCAGAAAGTAAATATGTAAAAATAACAATATATATTATTCCATCAACCAAATTTTATTTAGAATTGACAAAATATTTTGCTGAATAATTTGAAAAAAAAAACCAATAACTGAATTTCAAAACGAGAGAAATTAGAGATCAATTTCCTCAGTTGATTCAAGACTATTAGCTTGTATAAGCGTCATAAGATGTTCTAGGACAGCCTGATATAATTATATAAATGGATGTTTTAGGTAGGTATATGTACACCCCAATCGAGGCGAGCGTAGGAAGGTTGGAAGAAACGCCACCTGGTGGCAAAAATGCAACTAGCTAATCATTCAACAAAATATTTGTTTGATATAATGTATTTGTGGGTTCTGTTCAACGAAGTAATTTGTTTGAAATAACAACATATTTCTTGATAGTGATGTGTTGAATCAACAAAATATAATGTTGTCATAATCAATTCAATTTTGTCGAATAGAAAGAAACCTTTGATTGATTGCACAATGAAATGATTGTTGAATCAACAAAATATGATGTTGTATGTAGTTAAATCTTTGTCAAAATTAATCTAATTTTGTCGAATAGACAAAATGCATGTGATTGATTGAATAATGAGATAATAGTTGGATCAACAGAATTTGTTTTATGTCAACTATAAATGTTGTTGAATGAAATGAAACTTTTGTTCAAGTAAGCAAATATTTCAATCAAATTATTTCGT